CAGAGAATGGAGCACAAACTATTTACATCCCCCTGGCTTGGTAATAAATCAATATGAATCTGAGTCCATTTGTGAAGAGTAAGACCATCTTTTTCTTTCTGATAGTGAAGAAAGGACACATTTATGATCTTATCAGGAAGTCAGAAGGACCAAATCTGGCGGAACCACTCTGTGAACATAATTTTCTTGCTTATTAAACATTCTGAAATGTTTTAGTCTTTAATTAAAGAAAATCGCTCCCCAAATATTAATTGCAAACCAAGGAAGTTCACCCAATTTTACCAACTCATTTCAGATGCCAATTCCAGATGGTGAGAATGAAAGATTATTAAAAGGAAAATGCCTGATAATTAAATGGACAAGTGGAGGACACGATAGTTTCTATAGGAGCTCCCCTTCAACTTCAGCTGTATAGCAGGGTGAAGCACCCCAGGAAAAACACATAAGGCTCCCACTTACCACAAGTATCAATTACATGAGAAAACTGTTAGATTTTCTTCTCTTTCCAAAAGCAGGGACATTTTTAATGACTTTGGGACCAGTTCCTTATTTCTTCTCTCTGAGTCTTTACCCACAATGATATCTCAGGATTCCCAAGTGCATCAAAGATCAGGATGTCCCAAAACAAACCGCCTGTGTTGCTTCCTGCCATTACAAGCCATTACAAGCCATTCCCAACACATAACCCTGGACCCCTTTCTCGGCCTCTCTCACAGGAATGCGAGAACTTCCAGCTGGTGACCATGGACCACTTGGTCCACAAAGCCATTGACTTGAGGGAAGTGAGAGTGTTGGTTTGTTCTCAGCACATTAGTCAGCACAGCCTCCTCTGTTTTTCTTCCATATGTGACATACATTCCCTAGCCTTGCAAAAACTTTGGCAAGCTCCTGGGGTAAAGGATAAAGGTTCACATGACTGGATGACAGATAGAAACTGCTACAGGAAGCACATGTTATTTAAGCTAAATGGCACTTGAGCAAAGCAATATTGTTAAGATTTTTAATGACCAAAGCAAATTGTTTTCAATAAAGTAGAACTGGTTTAAAACATCATATGCTTTGATTTTTATTATTTCCTTTCTTCCACTGGCTTTAGGGTTTTTTTGTTGTTGTTTTACTAGTTCTTTGAGATGTGAGATTAGGTTGTTTCTTTGAGTTCTTTCTTATTTGTTAACGTAAACTTCTCCAAAGAGGAAATGCAAATGGCCAACAGGCATATGAAAAATGTTCAACATCACTTGCAATCAGGGAAATGCAAATCAAAACTACAATGAGATACCATCTTACACCAGTGAGAATGGCACATATTAAAAAAACTAGCAACAACAAATGTTGGCGAGGATGTGGAGAAAAAGGAACTCTCCTGCACTGCTGGTGGGAGTGCAAACTGGTCCAACCACTATGGAAAGCTATGTGGCGATTCCTCAACCTACTAAACATAGAGCTTCCATATGATCCAGCAATTCCACTCCTAGGTATTTACCCAAAGGGCACAGAAACATTAATTCCAAAGAGCACCTGCACCCCTATGTTTATCGCAGCACTATTTACAATAGCTAAGCTTTGGAAACAACCCAAATGCCCAAAAATAGATGACTGGATCAAGATGTGGTACATATACACCATGGAATATTACTCAGCAATCAGAAAAGATAAACATGCAATTTGCAGCAATATGGATAGAACTGGAAGGGATCATGCTCAGCAAAATAAGCCAGAAAGAAAAAGAAAAATACTGGATGGTCACACTCATAGCAGGAATCTAGAAAACCTAAATAAGGGACCAGGAAAAAGAATAACTATAAGAAAGAAAGAATCAAAATCAACAAACAACTATGAACCAGAGACACACTATGGGAAGGTAGCAGGGAAAGGAGGGCTTGGGGTCAAAATAAGGGGGTTGCAATTGTATGGGGAATATAAAAATAAAATTTAAAAAAACAAATATAAAAAATTTTTAAAAATAAAATAAAAAATCAACAAACAACTGAACCAGAGACACGCTATTGGGGGGGGGGAGGCGTGGGGAAAGAAAGGATTGGGGTCAAAATAAGGGGGTTGCAATTGTATGGGGAATATAAAAATTAAAAAAAAAAATAAAAAATTAAAAAAATAAAACATCATATTGACTTCAGGCGTACAGCATTATAATTCAACATCTATATATACTACATCATGATCACCACTGTAATTCTAGTTTCCATCCACTAGCACACAACTGACCCCTTTTGCCCAATTACCCACCTCCTTCCTTTCTGGCAACCACCATTTTCATTTTATAATCCCAAGAATTTGCTTTGCTTTGTTTGTTCATCTGCCTTGTTTTTTTCTTTTCCACATATGAGTTAAATCATAAGGTAGTTAGGCCATTGTCTGTAAAGAGGTGTCATGAAAAAGAAGGAGTAGATTCTTCTCTGTTGCTTCAGAGGAGCCAAACAGGGAGAAAGGTTGAAGGCTCCGCAGGGCGAAATGTCAATTCATTACAGACTTCTCTCTAGTAGGGCTTACAACCACACCTCTCAGAGTCAAGCATTCCCTGGGTACAAATGATCATAGAATTGTTGAGTGGGGAAACTGGAGAGCCCAACTTGAATTCTGGAATTCCTCAGACACACCACTAGTCCTGGAGGTTAGAATACAGGCTCCTGCACTGCACTGAGGCTAGGAGAGGAAAGGAGGGAGATGTTGGTTGAGATAATCTTCAAAGATCATTTCAATTTATCAGCCTATGTCTCCCAAAACATCACTCAAAATATAAGCATCTTGGTGATGAAGAACATTGGCTTGGGTATCAGAACTGGGGTCCACTAAACACTAGCTGCATGACCCTGGACTACTTGACATTTATTTGTCTTGCTCCTTCATTCACAAAATGGCACCAATACCTGTACCTGACTCATAGGATGGTTGCATGTATTAAAAGAATGTTGGTCAGCTAATATCACCTTAGCCCAGCCCCAATACCCAACTATGTAAGTGGTTTAATTGGGTACAAAATATATTTAACCTGTTGTTACTGCACTGAGAAACAATGAGCCAAATGTTAGTCTGATTTATATGAACCCACTTACCACTCTATGGAATTCCATCCTTAGAGTTTTTAAGAGTTTGCTGCTATTCCAGGTTTCTTTTGAAGAGAAACAGTGTCTGACTAATCATTTACATTCATTTATTCACTTATTGAGCAACTACAAGTACACATTCTGTGTGTGTAGATATCCATAAAAATGTGGTCAAGGGGTTCCCAAAATCAGTAAGAAGTTGGATCACATGATATTTAAGATTATTCCCAATTCTTAAGTTTTTTAGCCCAAACTTCCCATAGATCACTTACAATGAATATACACATTGCCATGAAAACTAGTTTACCAGCAGTATTATAATCATTTTGTCTGATTAGAATTAAATAGAGCTAATAGAACATTGCCTCTAACAGACATATTTATTGAGGAGAATACTCTTCCCCTCATCCTCATACTTGCATGGAGGGAAGAGAACTTATTCTTGCTGCTTGGGAGAAAGAAGTGTGGTTGCAATCTCTCTGAATTCTCATTCATCTTCTCTCCATAAAGAGGTGACTTATTTGATGGGTAAGCATGTGGGGCCCTAACCCCGTTAGGCTCACTAAACTTGGGAAATAAATGGTATCCTAATGCAAAGATGGGGTCTGCCCTTGTAAGGCAGAGGCCTACAGGTCTTTCCAATCAGAAAGCTATATTAGGGATTCTGATTGCAGAACAAGTTATCCTTGCTCTCTGCTTCAAATTCATTGATAATAAAGCTGATGTTTTGTTCTTGCACTGACTCCTATGTCTTATTTCTCAGTTTGTTCCAAAATGGAGAAATAATTTACCTCTTGATGTCCTTAAATCCCATATCATTACAATAGAGTCATAAATTGCAACTGTCCATGTCCAAGATCCTTGTGAAAGGGCATTCCATTATTTCTTTGAAGTCATCAGTGACCAGTTATATTCTAAAGTACATACCAAATCTTCTAAAGTACAAAAAGAATAAAACACAAAGGCTCTCTTTCTTTACTGACATCAAAAGTTGAAAATGTTAAGCTACTCAAGTGTCTATCTTTAGGTAACAACATTTTTCAAGTTTCTACTTTATTGAGAATAATCTGAGTCATTGTGATGCGCAGCAGTTGGTCCTAGAAAATTTGAAGACAATTTGTCTTCATCTTCATAGACTTCCACACCAAGTATAATACAAATGTGCTTCTCTTAAGTAACTAGTGAATATTTGTAATTTTGCCAGTGTACCTAGTCTTTACTCATGTTCATCTTCATATTGTTCTTTCTCCTCCTCTTCCTCTTCTTCAAGCCTCCACCGGTATCATGCCTCCCTGGGAAGCTGGAAATCCTTCTGAGTAACCCACTGTTGACAGGTTCACTGGCTTCTGAGATGTTCTAACTTCATTTCTTCTTGCTTAGTTTTAAGTTGCATTTGAAAGCATTCTGCAGCTTTTTCTTCAGCTTGGTTTTTCATCTGAATCTTAACATCTTCAACTTTCTAATTTTTCTCTATTTTTTTCTACTTAATGCCTCGAACAGATGCCACGTTTTCCTGCTTGACATTTATTTGGCACTGAGTGGAATGATGGGCTTCTCAGATTTGCCTCAGCATTAGCCATCCTGACCTGATATCTTGTTGGACATTAATGAACAAATCAGACCTATAGTCGTCTTCTGCCATGTTCAGCTGCACCAATGATGAGCAGCTCTGCTCACCCTGGGCCAACTCACAAGAACACGCACTGTTCTAGTGAAGAACTCAATTATGTGTATCCAGAATTAGGGGTTCCCTTTTTGTATCTATTAAATTATACTAAATCTTATCAGGGGGCACTGAAAGTCAAATCCTTCTTGATTTTTGAGCACTTAGTATCCCCAGGCTGGATGTTCCCAGAATAATAAACCCCCCAGGACCCTTACTATGACTGCACATTCCTTCCTCTGTCACTCATAGCTTTGTTCTCATCTCTCCTTCAGGTCGCCTGAGTTGGATGACTACCCCGAATGTCTCCCATGGCTGAAGAATCGGAGATTTGGGCTTTCCACCTAACAGCTGGGCTTGAATTCTGGGTTGGCAACAGGTAACTTTTTGCTTGTGTAATTCAGTGTGAAGGGCTGCAGAGCAAAGCAGGTTCAGAAGCTCCTCAGGCAGGCAGAGGAAAGTGTGTCATCACTAGCCATCAGACATGAGGGACTCCCTGAAGCTGGACTTCATAAGAGCGATGTGTTGGATGCCTCCACAGCCTGTCCACCTTCTAGAGGGAGTCAAGTGCACTGGAAAGCAAAATGGAAAATTACTCTCATAGGTTACCCTTTTAAAGAGAGTTTATAAAACTGACCAGTATATTATGGAAATTTCTGGGCTCACAGGATAGGGAAAACATAAAACTGGGCTTTGTCAAGCTGGAAGCAGAGAAAAATCATTAGAGAAAAAAGAAAAATGTCAAACCTGTACTGTACCCTTAGCTGTTCCAGTAAACCTACCCTGATTTACTATTTTGCTCCCCTCATTCTGAGCCAGTCTTCTCTCTTCTTTCCTCTTCCTTTCTTCTTTCCTGCTCTCTTGCATCAGCTGCATTGTTTCAGGAGAACCTTGGTTTTTGCACTAGATGAGTTATTGAAGTGTTTGCTGAAGAGTCATGTGCATTCTCTCCTGTTATATCAGGGGCAAGAGGATGAGCAGAACTCTCTCAGATCCCCTCCCCCCTGGGCACACCTGTTGGCCTTTCAGGGGCTATTGAATAGTATGGCTCTGCCATATTGGAGTTCTGAAACAGTTCAGAAGTTGACACAAAAAACTGGCAGACAAAGATGAAAATATCACCTTCAATACAGAAAAACAAGTTCTAGTAGAGGGCATGGCTTCTGTCCAGTGTCACCTACCAGTGACAAGTACAACTAGGTATCTGAATTGTCTGATTGTACTTACATTAATTCAATCAATTAGCAAAATATATCGCATCAACTATGTACCAGGCAGGGAATTGGGAGGTGAGTAAAACGCAGATAAACTGATTATAATTGCCCTCAAGGAGCTTGAAATCTAGTATAAGGATATTACAATAGCATAAAATCATGTGCAAAGTGTATCATCAAAAAGAGGATAACTCATAACAAGGGGAGAAAGGGGGGTCCAAGAGAATATCCTAAGGGAAATCACTTCTGAACTGGTTTTTGAAAGATGGACAAGCATTTAGGGGACAAAGAAAAAAGGTGCTGCATTCCACAGGGAAGGAGTGTGCACAAGCACAGTGATGTGAAAGGTGCAGTATGGTCTGATACAGCTAAGTTTATTCATGTTGCTGGAGTACAGTGTAGGAATGAGGAGAAAGGAGTGGAGGACACTAAGTCTGCAGAGATAGAAAGAGGCTTTGTGTTCCATGCTGAGCAGCTAGAACTTTCTACTGAAGAGTTCTCAAAGTGTAGTGTAAGGTCCAATTGAAAGGGAATAATTTTTAACAGGTAAGCCATTTTGAGAGTAACTATCACTGGTGACGAGGAGAAATTCACATAGACTTATCACTATGTCTGCAAAAGATAGATTACTCAGATCAACCTTCTGGCTAAAATCATAGAGAAAATGATGGCCGAAACTGTAAAAATAAAAAATGAGTTTTAAAAAGTAAAGATCTGAAAAGACATGAGACTTTCTAGGCTATTTTTTGGATGAACCCCTGTAACCAGAAAGGTAAAGCAAAATAAGACCTAGAAAGTTTCGTATGATCAGAGGACATTTGCCAACAACACAATGCCCTGCACTCTGGTCACCAGAACAGACCTAGAGAGACAGGGGGCTATTTTGGTGCTAAGCTAAAGGGAAGAGATAAATAGAAAAGAAAAGGAAAGCAACTCTTCTTGGGTATTTGTGACCAGGAACCAACCCTGTGACAAGTTGCACCTCATCCTGTACAGTCTGAAATGTGAACCAGTGACTGGAAAATGGTGAACTTGGTCTGAGGTGTTTTAACTATTAGTTCATCTCAAGAGGAGATGCATCCATCCTTAAGCCGCGCAGAACCCTCATAAATGATTTTTCAAAACAATAACAAGAAAGCAGTCAAAGATCATCAGGCACATAAGAAAGCAAGCTAACCTGAACGTCAGGAAGAATCTTGAGAAATCGCAGAGCACAGGAACAGACCCACACAGATTTCAAATATTAGAATTTTCAAACTTGTACTTTTTTTTAATTTTTGATGACTGTTAAAAGAAAATAATGAAAATAGAGATATGCAGCATGTAACTATCTAAAGGGAATAGCATATTTGTAAAAAAAAAAAAAAAAAGGAATGTCCAAAAAAAAGAAAGAAATGAACTTCCAAAATGGAAAAATACAAGAACTCAAAAATACAGCAACTCCACAGCTCTCTTTGGCAGCAGATGGACACAACGATAGAGAAAATTAGTGAACTGAAAGAAACCCAGAGTTTCTGGATTAAATAGAATCTTGTTTTCCAGGATTTTAAGGGCAAATTTTTCCGTATTCTTTTCAGCAGCCACAGGTTGAGCTGCTCTTTTCTGGAACATATATGGATATTTATTACCTCTGCTTCCTCCTAGAAGCAGTAATCCTTGAAATATTTAATATGGTACTTGATTGCACCCATATCTTTGGTCAGCAGCTTAAAGAATGCTGTGACTCATTGCTGTATGACCTAGACATCCGGTCTCCACACTCAACCCAGAACTCTGAATGAATGGAAATATGCCATCCTTGGCAGGTGGAATTATCAGTAGGTGCTTGATGAGTGCCTCATAGGCCAATTTGATAATGTTTGACTTTTTGACTAAGAACCAACCTTCCTTTCTTGTTCCATATCAAGCATCCTGTGTCTGGATGGGTTGTTCTATTACAGAAGTCAACAACCTTCTTCTCAGCTCCATATGGTTCCTGGAGGGCTGGGGAGATCTTTTTAAAGGTTCCATAAGCAAAATCACAGTAATGACCTCTTTGCCCTTTGTTAAGTGAAGATAAATTACCATTTTTTGGAGAAGGGCTCGACCCCCTGAGGCCTGCCATGGCAACTCAATCACTAGCAACTTCAGCAACTGCTCAGATATTTCATTTCACCCACAGCAATATGTGAGCCAGGAGAAAAAAGCATCACAATATGAAAACATTTATCAGCAGGGACTGCCTGTGCAGCTTGCCAGGCACGGGCCCTACTTTCTTTCTCTGTGAGGCTGCCCAGCGGGATGTCCTGGGGAAAGACATCACACATCTGCTGGGCAGTCTGACCAAGAGCAAGGGCCACACCTGTAGAGGAGGGAGAAAGGGTAAATTGTTTAAGAAGCCGCCTGCTCTGCCCCTTATCACATCTTGATAGGGCAACCAGAGGACTCCAGAAAAAAACTTGTCTCCACTCCATCTTCTGTTCCAGTCCAAAATGTCCATGTATGGCTGAGATTTGGAAGTAGTTTTTCCAAAACACACAATGATATTCCCAACTCATATGGAGGGCAAAGGACAGGATTAATAAAAGTGGAGGGAATGAGGAAATCTCTTGGAAGGAGAAGGCAAAGCTTGGGCATCTTTTATATTTCCCCAGTCTACACTCCAACCCTTCTGGCTATCCTATGATAGTATTCAGAGCTGGAAGGAAAAGGAGCAATTGTTAGTCCAACATTTTTACATTCCAGGGGAGGAGCTGAGATGCAGCCATGAGGATGAGTGATGTGTGCAAAGAAGTTAATGACAAAACCAAACCCAGAACCCAGGCTCCACCACTTTACCACCTGCACTCACCACACACTGACCCTCTGGCCCCAGATTCCCAGAACCATTTATTAGCTAATTCTACTGACTCTCAGTTCTTTCTAACCAGTGCTACCACTGAATCATAATCACTTTCACCTTGATTCAAGACAGTAGAAGGAGGTCAGGTTTTGTGCTAACCATGCACTTAATCCTTACCCTCTGGGATAATAATAATCCCTGCCTGACCTATGAAGCTACAAAGATTTGAGATTGGGAGAGGTCACACAGCTGGCAAGTGACTGAGGATACCTCCTCACTCCTCAGAATGCAGGTTCACACTAATAGCCTCATCAATAGACTGCTCCCCAAGACTATTTCAGTGGTTTCCCACCTGAACCCCCATGTTCATCCTTTTCCCATTTCAAACCATCTTGTACTCCAAAACCAAATTAATCTTCTTAAAATTTGCTTTTAATCATGTCACTTCTTTCCTTAAAAGGGTATCCCCTTGTCATTTGAGAGTGCCCACCATCTGGCCCAACTAGCATGTCTTGTCTTGTTTCCTAAGGCTGGTACTTTCTGTTCTATAGATAAATTTTTGAATGCCTCATTCCTTCCTCCTACAATGCCTTCCCAAAGCCTTTGTTTCTCCCTCAAACACCAGTATTGGTTCCTTTATTTCCTCAACACTAATTGAATGCCTACGTATTCATTTATAATATTTATTGCCAAAAGGCAGTGTAGTTCTGTGGGCAAAACATGGAATAGACACGTAACTTGATACTAACTCTACTAGTTATTAGCTACATGATGTTGGGCAAGCTTTTTGACCTGTCAATGCTTCCGTTTCCCAAAACATAAAATAAGGATTATTATGGCTGCTACTTAGAACATTGTGGAGAGGATTAAATTAGTTAATACATAAAAAAAACACTTTAAACAATGCATGGAACAGAGGGATACTTCCATAAATAGGAGCTAGTTCTAGCAATGAAATGGGTACTAAGCACTGGACTACAGACATAGACAATTTATAATATTTCCACTTTACAGTGGTATGAAAGCACTACACACTCAGTAGAAACCATTCTTAGAATTTTGAATTATGGTTTCACTTTTGTTCAGTATTTAATAAGTTACATGAGATACTTAACTCTTTATTGTAAAATAGACTTTAAGTTAGATGGTTTTGCTCAACTATATGATAATGTAAATATTCTGAGCACTTTCAAGGTAGCCTAGGCTAAACTACAATGTTTAATAGGTTAGGTATATTAAGTGCATTTTTAACTCACAATATTTTCATCTTATGATGCGCTTATTAGGATGTGGCCCCATTGTAAGTCGAGGAAGAGGTATAGTTTCCGGGACACACAAATTAAC